AAACTGTGTGACACTTGTCTCCTATTTTGTCGACAGATGAATGAATCTCTCCCACCAGACTTGTGGCACCAATTGACAGGTCCACTAACAGAAAGCCTCATAACAGCTTTTCATTATATGTGCAAGTCAGAACTATGAAGTCTTCCACATTTTCTTCATATTCCTTTCCTGTGCGGTTGTATTCGAACAAGCGGCAGAACCGAATTCTGGATAATATTCTCCCGTTTGGCCTGAGCACAGCACTCTATTTGTCATCAGTCGTCGGATCAAGTGCATTCCGGGCAAAATGTTCACTCAACCGTACCTGCTCTTATTCACTTTTGTGCGCCTTGTTTTGAATGGAAAAACCGATAATAAAGTGACTTAACTCTGACTCTACATTCCACCAGAGGCCGGATGCCTAGGGAATTCCAGCATATGCTCACTCTTGGAATAACCTAATGCTGCACTCGACTCTTGGATGATACATACCAAAGGCTCCAATGCCACAATTTGGAGGTGCCTTCCGATTAGAAGTACAGCATGTCAGACTCGTCTCAAAGATCCCTATATTTGAGCCAGAGTTCGTTGTCGGTGAAGGCGATTCTGGGAGCCTTCAAGTCAACGACCAACCTGAGAAGCTCGATCCAGCCGGATTGCTACGGAGCCGTTACTCAGGGGGACATGCACTCTCGGTCCTCAAGTGGGATGACCTCACCGGTATCCGTCTGTCTCGGCTCAGATCTTCACTCTATCCCCAGATACCAGTGGAACTGCCTGGACAGATTGCCAAGTTATGGCTACGACCCGTCCGATGAAATCCTGCATTTGAGCAGCCGACGAGGCCAACCGTTTGACCCGAGCAGTCAGACGCCGCCCAAGGCACATGCTGACGGTTCTGTCCGGTCGGGTGGCAACCGTGTCGGCTTCACCGGCAGAAACAAATCGCAATCTCTGCCTCTGCTACCGAATGTCGCGAAGCCGGAGGCTGTGAGACCGGGGCAAGAGATGTTGGTCAGCCTCTCCTGCACTCCGTCTGCCCGACTTCCGCTCTACCAGCAGATTCCGCCGCAGATGCCGGTCGCTGGGCAACAGGGCCTCAGGCTGGTCAAACCCACCAGTCCCAAGGCTCTACGTCACGACCAAGGGCCGCTGCCCACTTGGACGTCCTCCCAGCCGGAGCTGGTCGAATCGGTGGAGCCAGAGCCTCAGCCATTGACTGGCGAAACTTGGTACCGAAGTCCAATGTGCTCGGGCGTCTCGCTGCCGCACCTCTCGCCGCCTCGGATCGACACCACTTGGCTGGTTTCGCGTAGCCGAGTCGGCAGGCCCTATTCCCGGTTGACGCGTTGCCCTGACGCCGAGACGGAAGAGGACCCTGAAGGCGTCTGTAAGCTGCGGACGGCGAGACGAGCCGAGCCCAAACGCAATCTTCTCATCCTCCCGCCCAGTCCTAACTGCCACACGTGTCCCGACCAACAGCAGAACCGTCTGCCTCGAGCCCAGGGCCCGCCGGCCTGCGCCAGAAAGTCGAGTCTGTACTTCAACAAAGCTCACACCCTGACAAAACCGACCAACGAGTCGTGGGGTCGGTCGGAGGCCTCTCTTGTCAAGGCTTCATCCGGTAGAAGCATCTTCTCTTCGCGCTCCTTCCTGCCGGTCGACCATCGAGCCAGTCGGTCCGTGATTCGGCCCGCTCCCAGCCCTACCGGTCAGGCGTCGGCACTCGGCCAGTCCGATCGCATGTGGTTGGCGATGCGCTGTTACTCCTGCCACAACCTCGTGTCGAGCGGCTCTGACGTAAAAGTGAGGCCTAATCGTGCCGAGAGGGAGAGAGAAAAGGAGCTTGCAGACGAGATGGAGGCTGACTACGAAGAAGCTGGACGGGAGCAGGCGGAAGAAGAGGCCGAACGAATGGTCTCCAATTGGTTGGGGGAACATCGCAGGACGGGGGGCCATTGGGGTCGGTATGCCAAGACTGGGGGTCAGCAGCTGACGGGTGTGAATCGAAGAAGACGCGGACGAACCACACAGCCTCCCATGTCGCCGCGGACACGCTATCATGCTGGAAGGCATCATTCCATGCTCAGGTCGCGAAATAACAGCACTGCCCATGGCATGCCCGTAAATGGTCTTTCGCAAGTTGACGCGAGGTCTGAGGACCTACCTAAGCCGCATAGTGCGGCACTCTGGTGCTGCCCTGAAGCAGAATATGGCAGATGCTCCGGACGCCAGAGTCTCCGGCAGCAAAT